TAATATTACAGGGTATTACTATGTGGATTATGTACTATATAAACTTATCCAATAAGGGGCAGAGTGTTCCTGTGTTTGTCTGTCTGTCTATCTGTCCGTCTCCGTATATCCATAAATTCAGACAGGATGCATTTTTATAAATGATACTGATTTATAGTGACTAATCTTCAGGTAGATCTATTGGTGATTTCATCGTGTTTTCGGTGCTTTTATGTGTATTACATTTTGCTTGCTGATGGAAAGCGTATTACTGTATAATAACGGTCACTGATTCTACATTTACAGTTAGTTATTTAATCAATTCCCATGTGGATGGAAATGTTTTCTTTTTCTTTTCCTTCTTCTGCTACGTTGTTATTGTTGTACCTTATCATTCATATTTACTTTTTTTTAGTGTATTTTCCGATCTGTTTACCTTTCTGAACGTTTTTGTTTATCTTTCTGTGATATATATATTTTTACGAGTTGATCACGGATTGATATCAGTTAGAGAACCACTGAAAACCAGCCAGAAAGTACTGGACAGCTATTTCATTCCACTAGTTAGGGACTCATCGGCAGTACGCACCCACCACCAGGGTTCTAATTCAGGACATCCTATTTACAAGGCAAGCTCTTAGGCGACCATTCAACCACTGGCATCCGATTCAGTAGACAACACATGAATTCTAACTTCTATCACTTAGGGATTTAGTGTGACTGGCACCACCCAGTGTCATCGGCGGGACATCCATTCTCACACACTTGACTGGATGAACTTCACTGGTCACGACATTTCACTAGAACTGCAGAAACTCCTTCATGTAGCAAGTCACTAGCGAGCATCAGATTAGTTTCTAATATTCAAGTATTGGTGTTTAGGGATTCGATTAATTGGTTACAGGATTTCATCATGAGTTGACATCGGTTAGAGAACCATTGGAAAACCTGACAGTCGTCTCATGATGAAATCCTGTAACCAATCAATCAAATCCCTGCAAACCATTACTTGAATATCAATGAGGTGATCACTAGAGACTGGCCTTATTCAGGTAGGTAGTTACTTCGGTAGGTTCTAGTATGAATTCGTAACCAGCAAGATACAACAGGTCAGGTCGGGTCCCAGTGGCTTAATGGTCTACGAGCCAGCTTGTCTTGTAACCGGAAGGTCGTGGGTTCGAACCCTGTCGGTGGGTGCATACTCCTAAAGGGTCCCGAACTAGGCTGATGAAACAGCTGTCTAGCACTCCCTATTGGGTTTTTCTAATGGTTCTCTAACTGATGTCAACTCATGATGAAATCCTCCAACCAATCAAACAAAAAACCCTACCAAACCAATACTTGAATATTCAGATTTTCAACACTAATTTCAAGTCGGTCAATGCTTTTATTACATTCAGAGACTCAGAGTACGCTCGCGTTTGTCAAGAAAATAATTCTTAAAACAGACTTCAGACTTTTATCACCGGCTACTTCTTTCTCTCTATTCTGAAGATAAGCCGGCTGACCAGCAACGAAGGATTCTTCGATTTTTCAAGTGTCAATAACAAAAGCTGTATGAGATTTGGTTCAACTACTCCTGGTGAGCTAGTTATTTCAGTTAGTCATCTGTTTCTGCTATCTTGAAACTTAGTTTTCCAAGCTTGAGAACCTTTACTATTGTGACTAAATAAAAAAAACCAGCATAGAATACTAATAATCAGCATACATGTATCAAGCATAACTAATAAATTTGGAGAGTACTCTAAATAACACAAACCATGGCAGTTCAATTGTTGGTTTGTAGGGATTCGATTGGTTATAGGATTGTATTATGAGGTGACATCCGTTAGAGAACCATTGGAAAACCAGCAGAAAGTACTGGACACCTGTTTCACCTTATTCCAAGACTCTTTAGGAGTACGCACTCACCGCCAGGGTTTCGAACCCAGGACCTTCGCTGCAAACCAACACTTGAATATCAGTCTGGCCATATTCAGGTGGGTAATTACCTGGATGGGTTCTAGTTGGAAGTCATGACCAGTGGGGTACAGAAGGTCGGGTTTGAGGACAAATGCTCGCCGTTGGTGACATTGGCTAGTGGTCACGCCATATCATGAAGTGGCCGAAGTTGGAATTTACCTTGTAACCCAAAAGTCCTCGGTTTGAATCCTGGCTGGCGCATACTGCTGATGAGTCCCAAACTAGGACGGAGGAAACGATTGTCCAATAATCCTCAGTGGTTTCCCACTGGTTCTGTAACCGATATCAGCCTATGATGAAACCCTGTAACCATGGCAATTCTATTAAAACACCCGGAAATGTTAACTCACGATGATACATACTACTGACTAGCTCATGTCAGTAGTGGAAAAGCAATCATATTAATTAATAAGAGCTATTCGCCTAAGCACTGGGTTATAATTCTGCTTGTTTGAAGGCAAAGCATATCAGTGATGCACGCTATTACAGTGGCCTCAAGCTGCTTAGTCATTTGACCAAAGTTACAATATCTTTCTACTTAAGCGAAGCCTCAAGTCTCTTCCAAGTTCAGATAAAAGATAGCAAAACCCAACTTTTCTTCACAAGCTGACATCAGTTAAAGAACCATTGTAAACAAGGTAGTATTGGACAGCTGCATGCTTTCGATGGCGGTTCGAACCCAGTACCTTCCAGTGACTAGCCAATAACACCCGATTCAATGGCCAATCTATATATTTCAGCTTTTGCCAATTCGCGATACATGACACAGCCTCCAGGCATTGTCATCGGTGAGTAACTGTACTATTTATTACCTGACTTGGTGTAACCTACTGGTCATGAAGTTCCACAAGGACTCCAGGTAACCTCTTGTATGGATCCAGCTGCTGATGTGCATCAGATTAATTTTCAGCTGTTGGTTTGCAGGGATTTATTAATTGGTTGACATTGACAGATATTTGAGCAAAATATCGTGAATCGGTAGGAGCTGAAATCTATGGATAGCTGGAGAGGTTCCCAGTGGCTGAATGGTCAACAATCTAGCTTTGTAACTGGAAGGTCTTAGGTTAGAAACCCAATGGGTCCGTACTGCTGAAGAGTGGCCCAAAACTCAGATTAAACAGCTATCATGTGTTCCCTGGTAGGTTTCAGTGGCTCTCTAACCGGTGTCGATCCGTGATCACTATTGCAACCAATCAAATCCCTGAGAACCGACATTTGAAAATCCTGTTTCACTTGACTGTCAAGCTGTAAGCTAAAAGCTCTATGTTTTAGCTTCCAGACTAAAATACGAAAGTGTCGCATCTGATTGAACTTAAGAGTTAAGAACATGAAGTGCACTACACCTTCAAAACCTCTCTAAAAACACTAACAGCGATGACTCACTCGTTCTTCATTAGCCTGAATCCTTACACTCTGAAGTGGAACATAAGACGTCAAGCTTTTGAGGGTTTCAGTAACGGTGGTATGGTGATTTTAACTTCGCGTCAAACCTTCCCTTTTTTCTGAGCTTAATGTCCGTTAGTAAACTGAAACGAGGTTTAGGGATGTATTTTTTTATTTTTGATTTACAGCTTGATTCCACACCGTATTTTCAGTACAGGTATGGAATTTTCAGCATGGATATCGGTAGCCCAAATTTACAGGCCGACCATAGATATCGGGTATGGATTTGATTTGTTCCAAGTGTGATCTTGGATTAATTAGATCAGTTAGAGAAGTATTGAAAACCAGAGCAGAGAGTACTGGACAGCTACTGCTCCCTATTTTCAGACCCATTGGCAGTACGCAGTTACTGGGTTTCGAACCGAGGACCCCTGGTTAGAAAGCGAGCTTGTAGACCATTCATTCAGCCACTAGAAGCCGATTTACTGGCCACCCCATAGATACTGTCACCAGCCAATGTCATCGGCGAGTATTCTCATCACGCTCTACTTAGTGGACCCCCCTGAAAACAACTTCAGCCTGACATTAATCAGTGACCAAAACTGAAAATCTAATCGGATGCTAGTTAGTGACTGTCTGCAGGACGAATTTGCTTGGAGTTCTAGTGAGAAGTCATGACTAGTAGGGTCCTCTAACAGGTCAAGAGGTAGGACAAATACTCACCACCGATGACAGTGGCTGTCTGTCTGTTTTCGACATAGAACTTTGCATCGATGTGCAGCAGTTCAAGTTGCCACACTCAATCCATACAGAACACAAAGCAAGAGAAGAAAGTAGAAGAAATGTATAACAGAGACAGTAAACAGAGGTGTGAGACAAAGGAATAGTAATAACGAAGAACAATATAGTTTCATTGGAAATCATATGTCACAAGGAGTGCATGCACCTGCGCTAACCATTGAGAAAGATTTTGAGCCATGTCACCAATTGTTTCCAGCCATTGGTTTTTACCGTCCCGAGGACCCCAACCAGTAAGTCTACACCTTCCTAAGTGGCTAGCTTAAACTGACTGTTGTGGATTTCATTGACTGGTGCCATGCTTTGGTTTGACCACCACTAGCTCTTTTCCAGTCTGGCCCTATGTCAGCTAACATTGCTTGTCGAGGAAGGCGATGACTAGGCATATGTAGCACATGTCCTAACCATCTCAATCGGTGTAACTTCACAGCCTTGTCGATTGATTTCCCCTCCTTACCTAGCACTCGACAGTGGCTGGTATCAATCGCGCTAAAAATCACGAATTGGTAGAAGTTAGAATCCATGCACCATCTGATTGAGACCCAGTAGGTGAGTATTGATGAGGGGTCGTAATCTAGGACTACGAATTATGAAATTGCATCTTCTTCTCTATCTTAGAATGCTTTTATTAGCAAATAAAACAAAGAAGGAGGTGAATGTGAACGTACTTTTTATTAAAGCAGCCTATTATAATCTTTATTCATAGAAATTGTTTGAACTAAGAAGCAGCAAATAGAGTTACCATCTCACACACACATCAAAAAGTGAGAACCGTTAAACGGCGTCTAGAAAAAAATCTAGAAGCGATTCGTAAAAAACAGAAGGAAATCTCATGAGGATGACGATGACTATCGCCGTCGCCGCCCACCGATCTGTACTCAACACTGTTGTATCACTTTGTCTGAATAAGTCGGCAGTTGCTGCTGCTGATGTTGCTGCTGCTGTTGATGGTGATGTTGTTGATGTACTATGATGTGTATTGGACGGAATTCACGTATCACAGGGACAACAACATCTTGTGAATAGGCAGCCCATGAATTAATGATTGGATGAATAAATCGCTCCCAATGTGCACTCAGCATATAACTAATATCACAGAAATAATTAATAATTAAATGGGAGAGGAAACGTAGAAATTGTAAAAATGGTTTCACAATCGTCAATGTAATGATACGCAGTAGTTCAATACAAATTAGCGTGATCGTTGTAAAAACAATCCCCAGAGCTAAACATGCTTCACGTAGACCACGGTGAATTTTACTGTGTGCTCTGAGAGAAAGAAAGAAGAAAGAATAAATCGTATCAATAAATAGAGAGATAAAATTATATACTTTGAAACAATTAGTTCCCTTTATAAATTTAGACAAAGCAATAAGAAGACGTAATTTGTCTGAATCGTGTAATGCTGTGTTCGCGCAACACTTATTTCGAACAATCTGATCATACACACGGACTTGTCATAGGATTGTATATGTATGAAATTATCAAAGAGTTAAGAGTTAGGTCAAGTTAAAAGGACATATTGAAGGTCAAAATAACAATGAAGATCACTATACCAAATAACAGAGGTAATAGTACATCTACCCTGACTGATATCAAAACAAAGTTTACCAAAGAAGGTGGTTTAGTGTGATGACGAATTGTTTCTTTGGACGCATAAAAGTGATTTAAACTTTCTAATTGCCAGCCAGGGCTTCTACAAAATTTAGGATACCCTCCTCTAAATACGTTTTATAGATAGGTTTAAAAGGTGTGTAAACGTCAATTTTGTGTCCTGTGTCTATAATATGTTTCGCAATAGAGGAGCTAGGTCTCCTATTCTCACCAGTAATGGGTTCTGAAGATTCTATTTGCTTCTGGAGCCATTTAGGAATATGCTCTGAAGCCAGCCCTTACTTGCAGAGATCGATGAGTCCTCCCCATGTATGTGTGTCCTCATGTACATTCAAATTGGCAAGTATAGTGGGATGTGAAATAATGTTCGCATGTTCGAAGGGCTTAGATGGATGGATATATCGGCTTCACATTCTCAATTATTCTGATCTTAGCTGTATGAAAAGTCTGTTTTTTAACAGCAGTGTTCAATCTTTGTCTAGTAATCAAGCTGCTATGATCTCCCATATAGAGTAGCTTGATGTGCACGTCTTTCTTAGAGTTGTAGAGTGGGTCTTGGTGTTCTGACTTCTTTATATCTCCTAATGAACTTGTCTGGATAATTATTATAAACCAGAGTTTGTGTCAACTTTCCTTCTTCTTCATCAAGTGTGTCTTCAGTGCATATTCGTTGGATTTTACTGAAGAGGCACCTCACTCCCCAAGAGTATTTTATACCTAACAGGACAGGGACTGTGATAATTAAGATACTGTCCTATCCTGTCCAGGTAGGTTTTCTACAAATAGATCATTTTAGTGGCCCACCAAGACATCGATAAGCAAATAGAATCCCCAGAGCTCATTACTGGTGAGAACAAGAGACCTAGCTCCTCTATTGCGAAACATATTATAGAGACAAGATATAAAATTGATGTTTACTCATCTTTTAAACCTATCTATAAAACGTGTTTGGTGGAAGGTGTATCCTAAAGTTCGTGGAAGCCCAAGCTAGCAATTAGGAAGCTTAAACCAACTTTATGAGATGAGAGCAACAATTCGTCATCACACTAAACCACCTTTCTTGGTAAACTTTGTTTTGATACCAGTCAGGGTGGATGTGTTCTTACCTCTATTATTTAGTTTAGTGTTCTTCGTGATTATTTTGACCTTCAATATGTCCTTTTAACTTGACCTAACTTGTCTATTTTCTCACCTCTTAACTCTTTATTAATTTCACATATACATATTCCTATTACAAGTCCGTGTGTGTGATCAGATTGTTTGATGTGCGTGTTGCACGCAAATACACAAAAGACGATTCAGACAAATTACGTCTTCTTACTGCTTTGTCTAAAATTGTATACACTACTGAATGATTGAAATCAGTAGTAGCACTTGCTAGCTGGATTGAAGTGATCTAAATACCAGAGGATGGCAGTTTCACTCGAGTATGACTGAGCCTATCAGCCGTGTGCTTATTTTGACTGAGCTCGGAATGGTGAATCTGTTCAGGTCACCTATTTAGATTAAGTAGTTCTCTTTATGAATTTCAACCAAAATAAGAAGAAGACATAGTTTATCTGAAACGTGTAGTGTGTATTTGCACAAAAAACACCATTCCAGAAGAAACGCAAAACCTCACTGGAATATTGTCTCATAACAGTTATCCGTTACACAAGTGTCAAACAAACAGCTCTATCGATCCATTCAGCTCCCAAGAAGAATGTTTATATATCTTGCTGTTCAAGGGTGATCAGCAAAGCTTGATCACTAAACAAAGACTCAGGATGACAATTCATAGAACTTACTATGCAGCCAAATTTATTTTCATAGAGAAAATGAGATCTGTGTTGTCCTGTAAACCCTTACAGCCTCCAAATGATAGTGTCACATCTCATTGTGTTTACCCATTTACACGTATGTGTGAACACATTTACATAGGGAGAACCTATCGGTCTCTAGAGGTTAGGGCTACAGAACGTATTCCAAAGTGGCTGTTACAACAACTGCAATCACAGTTCTCTCTGTGCTCCTTTATGGCTGTGAGTCATAGTCATTGAAAGTGGAAAACATAAAAAGGCTAGCTGAGTTCGACTATATGTGTCTGCATTCTATTTCCTGTGTTAAGTGGTAGAATAAGATAAGTAATATTGACGTTAGGTGTCAAGTGCTATGTAAGGAGAGGGAATCAATCGACTGAGATGGTTAGGACATGTGTTACGCATGCATCTCTAGCCATCGCCTTCCTCGGTCGACAGGAAATGTTAGCTGAAATATGATCAGGTTGGAAAAGAGTTAGCTAGTGGTGGTCAAACCAAAACATGGCACCAGTCAATGAAATCCATAGCAGTTACTTTAAGCCAGCCAGCCGCGTAGAGAGGTGTAGACTTCCTGATTAGGGCCTTGAGGACGGTAAAAACCAATGGCTGGAGACAACTTGTGATATGGCTGAAAATCTTTCTTAGTGTTGCAGATGTATTCACTCTTTGTCATTTGTCATATCCAATAAAACTCTACTGTTCTTCCATATTACTATTTTCCCCCTCAAACTGCTGTTTATTATCTGTCTTTTGAACTTCCGTTTGTTCTCTCCTTTTGCTTTGTATGTGTTGCATGGGGAGTGGCAAGTTGAAAGGCTGCATTTCTGTGTAAAGTTTCGTATTGAAACCAGTCAGTCAGCCAGTCAATCTCTAACTGGTATCAACTGGTCATCAAACGTGCCATCAAAAATATTTCGCCTTTAAATTTAAACGAATTCACGGTCACTATGTGAATATCGTGAAAAATCGACATCAGTGTTAGAGAATCACTGAAAATCAATGGAGGATTGAACACCTGTTTCGTCTTAGCTTGAGACTCTTTATCAGTATACCACATCCACTCTATTCCTTCCGTGATTTTCAGTGTTTCTCTGACTGATTAAAATCCCTGGAAAATTTAAAGTTGAGTATTCACAGTGCAATAATTATTTATTTACCGTTCAGCTATTGATTCCATTTTAGCATCTGGTATTGGTAAATATTCAATCTGTAACAAACAAAAAAAAAGAAACGGTCAATGAAAGTATATACGTACACATATACACTTGAACTGTTGCCTAGTAATAGTTGGTATCCAAAGTCTGAAGGTTACTGGTTCCACTTGTTACATAACCGAAGTTTTCATCCTTTCGTCAGTCTGTTAACCTAAGTCCATTTCGAACAATAGAAAGTTATCACTTTCTAAATGTTTGTGAATATTTTAAAATTTAAGTTAAGTAAAAAAGCTTGCATCAGTGATTCCTTGGTAAAACAGCATGATGACCCTTCCGCAGGTATGGCTTCAATTCCCAGCCGACACACTCCTAAAATTAGCCTAGTTTATTAATACTATTAGATGGTTGGAGGCAATCGGTAAGAAGCCTTACCTGATCTAGGTTTTGTGCCAGTTGGCAGTCATCAGTCTGGGATTCGAACTCACGTCATCCAGTGAGTGCTGTAGTCAGAGACGTTACCAATGAGATATTTGGGCTCGTGACTGACCTCTTGTAGGATTGGATTGTATACTTTGATTGGACACTAGTTACTAACTAGTGTCCCGAACCCGAATAGATCACTGGAAACGTCTGTGACTGCAACACTGGGTGACACAGGTGCGAATATAACAGCGAACCTGAGTCCCTTCAGAGATACAGATGCACCTTACAGACTGCTGAGTGCCAGCTAGCACGAAATCGAAGTCCAAAGCTACCTGCCGATTGCCGCCAGCCATCCATTATCAACAACTCAAAGTGCACCGTGAAGGTGAGCCACCTAGTGGCATGATGGCCGCATTGCAAACTTGACTGATAGAATTCAGTCTGCACCAAAGAAGTGACGAGACAAATCACACTATTTACTAACTAGTGTCCAATCATATTAACCTAGTTTACTAGGTGATTGTAAGAGCTCAGAAAAGAGGGAAGGCTAGACGTGAGGCTAGTAACTTCCCCTCATAAAAGTACTACTGCTATTGAGACTTCAAAGCGCTTGAGGTTTGAAGCCTTGTGTTTTCATAGGGACGCAATGGAATGAAAATAATAATGGTGTAGAAGTGGTATGTCTCATACTGTGTAATGCTTTCTACCATTAAGTTTATCCAGTTCAGTTATATTTGTAGCGGGTTAATTATTATTTATAGCACATCTCCAATTTGTTCTATTTTTTGCTGTCCTCTTCACCTGGATAGCCACACGATTGCCCATAATCTTTCATATCCTCTTTCTCTCTACACGACCTCCTCCATGTCACCCTCGCACCAACCACCAACTTTTCGCTTGCTTCCCATTGGGATTATACTCTAGCGATGACCTGCTTTGCACACGATGTCAGTCTTATCAATGTATGCCCAATCAGTCCATCTTCATTTCCTCCTATATATTTGTTGAGCAATCGGCTCTTGCCTGTTGGTTTGTTCCACTACAGAGTTTCTTCTTGCCAGTTCTTTCTAGCCAGCCAGGTAAGGTGGCAGCTTTTGATAAAAGTCTGCAGTGGCTTGTTGAAAATTCTCTTCGTGACGTTCAGTACAAGTTTCTGACTCCTATAGAAGAACTGATTGACTGACTGTAAATTTGTTGAAAATCCGAATCTTGTTCTTTACGCTGTGATGTGCAGAAGATTTCCGAACTGGCTTTAGGTTGATGAAGGTGTATTTTGTCTTTCCGATTATTCTTGGCTGGCTTTGACATCTTCATCCGTCCCGACTACCTGTGGTTGAAACCGTGCTCTCTGGCCAGATAAGGGAAAGCAGGAAGTGACCTCTGTCAAGTCTCTCCCGTTGATGGTGATTAGTGCTGGTTGTTGTTGTTGTCGTCGTTGCTGTTGGTAGTGGTTGGTTGGTTATCTTCGTCACCTGCGTCTTCTCTATGTTCACCCGCACTCCTGTCTTCTCTGCCTGCTTCTTCAGCCAGTTTTACATGTTGATAATAACTAATTACTGATAACAAACATTCACCATTAGATGAGTAATTTTCAGCATTGTATTGTAATATATTGGAGTAGAGTCATAGATGAAATGTAAATGTACCCTATTTCTTGGCTCAATCCCCTTGTATTCGAAGACTTTATATTCCAGTAGACTAGGCTCACATGGAACTGTGGCTCACTGGTCTAGGCGCTCAACTGCCAGCTTCTGAGTGACGGGTTTAAACGCCACTCCGCCTTCCAAACTATGCATAGACAGGTAGTTTCATCATTATCTTACACTGCTCATCGCCAACTGCATGGAAATGCCACTAATTTTTGCATATCAGCAATAAATGTTTTCAGTTATAGATTCTTCTGATGATTTGAAGTAAAGCAGGTTGTGGTCAGAGAACGGTGATACTAATCACGATATGCTTATCTGAATCTAGAAACAGAATTCGATATTTTGAGAGAAATCTTCATCTAAAATGGATACCCAACAAGATTCATTGACAAAAATATCCAACTATGAATTTGGAGAAATGAAACTTCATTTGTGCCGAAAAAGAAACTCTACATGAACTTGGATTTCAAGGGAGATTTAGCAAGCGATATTCTCAAGAGAAGGATCACATCATCTCTGAGAAGAACATTCTTTGCAGCAATAGTGTTCTCCAGTCTCAAGGACAAGATCCTGCATCTGACCACTTCTATTTGCATATATCAGTTCACCTGCTGCCGTGGAACCAGGTACATCGGTCGTTCGACTCGCACCATGTCCAAGAGGATTCAAGAACACTATCCAGCATGGTTGCAAAAAGGTAATATTGCTGCAATAAGGAGTGCGATAATTGAATACCTGGTTAACACTGATAATTCCATTTCAACAAATGCCTCCTTCAAAGTAATCTACAGAGTCAAGAATAACCTACAAAAGGCCATACGTTTTCGTCTTCTTTATATCGCTGAAGCTCTGACAATTCACACAGAAAAACCGGAGCTGTGCATACAAAAGAGAATTACTCAACCACTTCTGCTGTCATGGTATCAACTTTGTCGATTTCTGGTGACTTAATTTTGTTTGTTTGCCTGTTTCTTTCATTGCTTATGATTCTTGTATTCAATTAGAACCCTTACGTAATTTCGTATTCTCTACTTTGTTACTATGTGTATCCTGAGTAAAACTCAATCATCAATCTATCCATATTATTGCATAACTTCTTTTTAACAACTGTTTGTGACAACTCATCACCTTTATTACTACCCTAGGTTCATAAACACCTAATTTTCTTGACTGATTTTGTATTACGTAACTCCAGTTACCAATCTTCACCTGTTTAGTTAAAATAACCATAACCAATTGTAATTTTGTTTGAAAAACTTAATGTACACATATATATTTGCGATTGTACAGCTAGGAGAAATGAATTCGCTGAAAAGAGACTCTTCGCTGAGCTACGTGTTTTGTTTTCATTATCTGAATCTATCAGTCAGGTATCCATTGATGTTATCGAAGTCACTGATACCACGATAATATGTAAAGCAATGAATCATGTTTTAGTTTCAAATGTAAAATAAATGAAGTCAAACAGCGAAATACCTGTTTGAATAAAGAAAGAACGAACGTATTTGCAGAACAATACGAGCTCTTTACATTTCGTCGATTCTCTTCAACTGCTTACAGCCTAAACATTATCAATTGTAAGTTACAAAATTATAGATAACATAAGTCACAAATCGAAGTAAGTAGACGAATTATTCACTGTTAAAAGAAGAAACGGTGAAAATCATATGCCTGCAATCTGAACTATTTCCTCTTCCTGAAAAGGAGCTACAAAATTTGCAACTCCTTTATACAAAGAATGTTCAGTTCCGATTCAATAACCAGCTGAATCGGTAAACTGACAAGGGGGGGCTATCGGTTCCCCTTTGGGTCCTGTTCTTGCTCTTATATTCACAATTCATCTTGAACAGACTCGAATGAAGGTGGAAATAGAGAGAACCACCTATTACTGCAGCTATGCTGACAACACTTTCGTGGTTCACAATAGTATGGATCGCGAATCCAAGATGTCTGAAAAACTCAATGCGACTCATCCCCAGGCTGCATTTAAAATGCATCATTAATGTGACGATCAGCTTCACCTCATAGATCTCAACATAAAAAGAAAAAATGATGGGACGATTGAAAAAACCATCTGTATGAAGGAAACTTGAATTATCAAAGCTTTTGCCCAATCGGCTACAAACGGAGCCTGGTGAAAACGCTCTTCAACAGAGCTAGGGTATTGTGTTCAAAAGGTAACATCGTAGAGGAAGTCACAGTCATCGAAAATATCCTTATCGAGAATAGATACATCCGAAAGTTCATATCAAAACATAGGAAGGAAAAACCATCTAGACCATACGCCAGAGTATTTGAAAAGAAACCAGTTTTTATCTATCTAGCATACAAAGGCGAAGAAGTGTTCATAAGAACAGAAAAGATAATTAAAGATGCGTTGAAAAGAACAACCATCGCCACCAGACTCATTCCACTTTACAACACAGTAAGCTCGTTAACTCAGTCAAAAGTAGATAAATATCCTGCTCCGGATGTCATCTGCGCTTGCGTCAGCAAGTACATCAGAAGGATTGAGAGGAGAACGTCTAATAGATTTTCTAAGCATATCCCTACAAATTTCCGTATGAAAGGCAGCCTAATTGATATGGGACATACAGTGGAAATTGTTCAGGCTTTCAAAATAATCAATACACAGAGGAAAGCATGGTTACCTTGGTTCGCAGAAGCCAATGCCATCAAAAGACTTCGACCGAACCTATGCATACAGAAAGAGAGTGTGACTAATCTCTCACTACCCTGGTAGCCATAATTGTTTTGTTTATGTGCTTTTGTGTTTTGTTCTTCTGCATAATATTCCACTCGATTTCGGTTTTGATTTTCACTCACTGACTGAGTTGGACTCACTATTAAGGTTCTAAATCTATTGAATAAAATTATTTTATCTGTCGCATAATTTTACTTCACTATTCACCACCCACCACCCTTCCTGAGCTCTTCACCATAATATGTATAAATTAACTCTGTTATTCTATCTTGTATTCTGTCTCTAGTCTATCCTTATTCCCAAGCGAACTCCGAATTCAACGCACCTCCTTTGTCTAATTTTTTCTATAAATAGTTACTCCCTTGACAATGAACAGTTTGTCTTCTTACATCATTTTTCGTATTATGTTGCCTATACTTTCTATCAATAACTCTAAGTCATTGTAAAGAGTATTTTCGGGCAATTTTTATGTAACTTATAATTGATTTTGTTTGGGGTCAATGCAGTTGAAGAGAGCTGACGAAAAAAGAGTTCTTATTATCCATTGGTTTTCCTTATTGCTGTAGACTGGATAATGGGGCAGACAGCAGGCAACTAGGAGAGAGGCATAAAATGGACCCATACAAAACCTTGGAGGATCTGAATTTGGCCGATGATATGAGTCTGATTTCCCACAAACTGCTGCAAGATATGCAAGTGAAAAGTAACAAGTTGGTAGAAGAAGCACATAGAGGAGATAGGACATCAGGTGAACATAGCGAAAGCAGAGGTGATGATGAAGATTCCTGGCCGCGAGGAACAGCAACAGCAACAACAAAAGACAACAGTCAACCAGCATAAATGGGAGGAATATGAAAGGAGCAACCTCCTTCACCTACCTACCTACCTAGCTACCTGGGAAGCACCATTTCAACTACAGGTGGATGGAACTGATGAGGATATCAAAGCAGAGAGGATCGGGAAAGCAAAACAAGCTTTCATTTCTCTCAAGTCTGTGTTGGAAAGATCAACAGCACTCAACATGAAAAATAAGATCCAGATTTTCAAATCCAATGTGAAGTCAGTGCTACTTACTATACGGATCAGAGACTTGGCGCGTCACGAAGGGCAATTCGAACAAATTACGCACTTTCATCAACAGCTGTCTTCGTTCAATACTACTCAAGATCAGATAGCCGGCCAGAAAAGATCAGCAACAGGAATCTCTGGGAAAGAATGGACCAACGCAGCAGGAACCATCTGTGCAATAAATATGCATGAAGAAATGGAGTTAAGTGGATTGGCCATACTCTAAGAAAACAAACCATCAACTGAGTGACATCACACACCAGGCCATTGCTCGAGTGGAATCCGGATGGGCAGAGGCGAGTTGGTCGTCATTGCGAGGGTGACATGGAGCAGGAGGTGATGCGAAGAGGAGATGAAAGCATGTGAGCCGACGTGGAACCAGGTTAAAACGTTGGTGGGGAACCGAACGTCATGGAGACGTGCGGCTGAAGTCCTGTGTTCCTCTAGAAACCAAAGGAGACAACAATTATAATGCGCGTTCTTTCTTTATTCAATCTAACAAAGCCAACCGGCTGTATGGAATACTTGTTTACCGAATGACAACTCTACTGTCAGTAATCCATACCTCGGAGTATATACTACTTCATATATATATATATATATATATATATTAACACACTGTCATTCAGCAAACTTACTTGTGAAGAATTGAGATAACAATTCCAACTACTGTGTATATAATTCTTCTCTAAATGATGCATTTTTTCATGGCAATCCATTCCTACTGGATTATGTGGCTGTTGACAGTATGGCAGTGCTTCACACGATTCATGAATGCAATCAGCTTTTAATAGAAAAAGCGAAATTCGAATATTTTTTAAAACCAATTAGGTGATAAATTTCTACCAGAATATTATGCTGAATATGTGAAATGTAATTCATTATGAAGTATTGGTTTTGTAGAGATTTTGTTTGATTGGATGCAGGATTTCATCATGAGCTGACATCAGTTAGAGAACCACTGGAAAACCAGCTGGGAGTACCGGACAGCTGTTTCGTCTTAGTATGGGACTTATAACCAGAAGATCCTGGGTTCGAACGCCGGTGGGTGCGTACTGATGAAGATGAAGGACGAAACAACTGTCCAGTGCCCTTTGCTTTTCGATAGTATCCTATGTGGTGTTGATTCATGACGAAATATACACTGAAAGGAATTCAGATCCCTGCAAAACTAGTCACAAGAATATTTATAAGCTCACGAAGAAAAATTTATCAATTATTCGAGATACTATTTAAACGGTTTATAAGTAGTTACAATTTATTTTATAGGTACAGTATGGGCACGTAGAGATACACAACACAAAATCTCATGATTTGTGTGTCGGCTGGGATACTACCCGGACGACCAAACTGAAGCGGGTAGTTGTCTGAAGTGGCCCACCTCCTGCGACGAGCCTCTGACTTGAAGTACTGAAATAGCCATCCCATAGTTTCCGGTAACCAAAACAGGTTGACATGCCATTCAATCCGTTTAGATTCCCAAGCCTGTGTATACGCCATGTGTTCAGTACTAGGATTTTTCAGCTTCCCTAGGTAGACCAGTATGTCTACAAATCCGGTTTTAAGCACCAGAGGTTTGCATTTCTTCTTTCACTTCTGCAAAAGATACCCTCGTCCATCGCGTGAAAGTAGTGAATAGAAATTACCTAACATAATAAGGAAAAACTTAAAGCATATTTTTCCTTTCACTGTGATAAATAGGTAAGCTATTGATAATCACAATATACAGTAAGCAGCGTTGATACTGCAATTTATTTCGACTGAGCAATAATTAACAGATTCTTCTTATCATTAAATATTCCCACATAATAATAATAATAATAATAATAATAATAATAATAATAATGGCTTTATTCCAAACAGTATTTGTGGTACAGGTATGGAATTTTCAGCGTTCATTACAATATTGCATCTAATTACCTCGTAAATTTTTATAAGGATTTAGAAATATAAAGCAACAACAACAAAAAGAAAAAGAGAAATAAAAGAAATAAAAAAAAGAACAGCATTGCATTCACATATTTAAACAATGCACCACAGGATATGAAATATAAAATTAGTCTGTAGTAGAATATATGAGCAACAATATAATAGTAACAAAGAAAGGAGAACAAAGGTTAATGGGAACTATTTGTTACAGTGCCGCAGTAAGTTGATCGTGTCATGCCTAACAGTTTTCTCATCACATAACAGCTGTGCCAGATAAGGTATTGTGGAGTTTTTATACTTGGTAGTCCTGGCATATAGCTTCCTATAGTTGCTTCTAGTTCTACCAGATGAAATGCAAGGAGAGAGCTGCGTATGGAGAGGGTGTTCGGGGTCTGACATTTAATATTAGAACAATATTGTTTTCATTTAGATCTTCTTCAGGCTTTACTCTAATTTACATAGATTTATATTAAAACATAATTTAACCAATGACGGTGATTTTGTGGATTAAATAATAATAACAATAATAATGTGGTAAATGTTTTGAACGTAGTTAATAACGGTGATTAAAATGATAACAAAATATTGATAATAAGGTTTATGCAGGTGGCGATATGAATAACAAAGGTAGTAATATGTGCATATGTAGACAATTCCATAAAATAAATTAGGTCAAATCTTAAAATCTACGTAATACTAAGAGTGAAGTGGACAGATAATCAGAGTTTAAATAAATATCATAAAAGTATGAAGGAAATGGAGAATGAGAAAAGGTGAGAGGATTTTGACTAGAATTCACCTAGGCAAGCAAGGGAGAGACAAAGGTAGAACAAACTTCTTTTGTAAACAAATGCACTAGGATTGTTCTCTCGAATTCCCATAGCTCCGACTATGTGGAAAGGGTGGGTTCCAATTCCGTTCGAAAAGCTCGATGGAATGCGATAGATAACATTGAAAGCACTTCTTCTATCCACTTGGTGAACGCTATCAATCAAACGAGCCAAAATAGAACTTGTTATACATTTTATTTGACCTTCTCATTCCTCAATGAGAATTAAGTATTTGTTTTAATAGACGTAGATAGGCATCTGTTTTAATTGACGATGCGCGCGAAGGCGCAGTTGAATTTGTGGCATGGCGTGGGACGGGTGGCTGGTTTCTTACGGCCAGCCCCTGTCACTTGGAGGCCTATGGTGGCTTCCAATCTTCGCCAATGGAGTTATTTGGTAAGTTTTATTTATTTTTATTTTATTTTTATTATTAGCTTTCATGTTTAGGCCAGGTTTTAGCGTGATGTTTACTATGCTAGGGCTTTAGGGACCATACGGTCTAAGTTTGTTTAGGGATGCTTTGGCATAGGAAAGCTATATATCAATCGGTAGCTCTCGACTAGATCTATCTTTAGACAGTGGTTTCGACCCTTGTAGCTCCTCCTCAGCCCTCCCCAGGATCTTTGATATCTGGGCTTGCGCCCTCTGGGGTTATGCTGCCAAAATTTTTTTTTTTCTAGGGAGGCTAGGACTTAGGTGAAGTTATATATCAATGGATAGCTCTCATAGCGACCTATCTTTTGACATTGGTTTCGAACTTTGTAACTTCTCCTCAGCCGAATAGGGACTTGTCTTGTCTGGGCTAGTGCCCTTAGGGGGAATGCTGCCGAAATTTTATTAGGGAGGCTAGGACCTAGGGAAGCTATATATCAATGGATAGCTCTCGACGAGATCTACCTATTGGTACCGGTTTCGCACCTTATAGCTTCTCCTCAGCCGAATAGGGAATTTTTCAAAGGCTATAGGGGAAACCTGTTTCTAGGCTCAGAGTTCATGCCGCTGGCTGTTCTCTTGACACTTTTAGCTCCGTGACCTCAGGTTGTTTGCCGTTGTGTATGTAGCTAGGGGGCATTACCAACCATAGGGCAGTAGGGGGGCAGAGACTGCTAGGAAGGAAAATTCGATTATTTTTCTTAGGAATAGCTTTTACCCTCTGATTTATATACCATTGGATTCCTCTCAACAAGACAAATCGATTGGTACCTGTCTCGTCCCTGTAGGCTTTACCGTTGCGAAATTATGGAATTTTTGATGTTCTGCTGGTTTTCTCCATTTTTTTTGCTTGATCCCGAGGCTGACCGGCAGCTTAACCGGACTTCTACTGATATGACTGTGGCGACGGTATCAGTAGAAGATAACTTGGGTCGCCACACCGCTCCATGAGTAGCTCCGTTGACAGTAGCAGCGGACGCCAACGAAATTTTTCAAACCTCACAACCTACTGATACATTGGCGACGGTATCAGTGGGGGCTGGACTTAGTCGCCATCATTCATCAATCCAAACCCATGAACCCAACAAATCTAAGAAATATCATGCCGGATCGGCCGTGGCCCGGATTAACAACGACCGCGCTTTCTGCTGCCGTGTCACAGGGCAGAAGTGATAAGTACACTACTGAGACACACCAGGCCGCGTGTGACCGGCCTCAAGCAGATGTCCCCTGGACTCTGCGGTCACGCAACACTAACCTTTCTTCCATTTCAGGTACCCGAAGACGAAACTCAGGCGTGAGGCCAGCAACCCCACCCTGTAAACAAACCTGCTACAGAAACTTCACCATGAGCAATCTCCTTGCGACAAAAGAAAAAGTCTGTGTGGGGACATGGAATGTCCGCACCATGTACGAGACTGGCAAAGCTGCCCAGATCGCCAGCGAGATGAAAAGATACAGAATCCAAGTGCTGGGAATATGTGAAAGCAGATGGAATGGAAGTGGACTCACCAAACTATCAACGGGAGAGTCAGTGATCTACTCCGGTCACCCAGAAGATAACCACACGCACACCGAGGGCGTGGCTATCATGATGTCACCAACGGCAACGAAAGCCCTGATGCAATGGGAAGCGATCTCGTCCAGGATAATGACCGCCAGATTCAACTCCAAAGGAAGAAAAGTGTCAATAATCCAATGTTATGCACCCACCAACAACGCAGACCTCGAAGCGAAAGAAGAATTTTACAGACAACTACAGGCAGCAATAGACAATACTCCAGCTGGCGACATTAAAATACTAATGGGAGATATGAACGCCAAACTGGGACCAGACAATACAGGAAGAGAACTCATCATGGGTAGAGAAGCTCTTGGAGAAATGAATGAAAACGGAGAACTCTTCGCCGACTTCTGCGCCTTCAACGAACTAGTGATTGGTGGCAGTGTTTACAAGCACAGAGATATCCACAAGGCTACATGGGTGTCACCAGACGGGCGAACCAAAAACCAAATTGACTTTATCACAATATCGAGGAAGTGGAGACGCAGCCTACTGGACACAAGAGCAAGAAGAGGAGCAGACGTTGGCTCAGACCACTACCTCGTACAAGGGACAATCCAAATCAAATTAAAAGCTTTCAGGGAAACAGGAGCTGCAGATAGACCACAAGCCAAGTTCAACACTCAAAAGCTGAAGGACCAGGCTACAAAGGACATCTTCATTGCAAACATAAAGGAAAAAGCCGAGACACAAATCAACACCAACGAAAAGGTCAGCGTCGAAAAGCACTGGAACAAATTGAAAACGGTGTGGAGTCAAACCTGCATGGAAGTCCTAGGCAGAAAAAAGAGACAGGACAAACAGTGGCTCTCTACGGACACTTGGAAACTAATAGAAGAGAGAAGGGTGGCGAAACAAAAGATTATCCAGTGCACCGACGAGCAACAGAAACAGGAGTTGAATGCAAGCTACAATGCACTGAACAAAAGAGTGAAGAAAAGTGCCAGGGAAGACAAAAGAAAATATTGTGAAACCATGGCAAACGAAGCAGAACAAGCCGCAGGCAAAGGAGACCTCGCTACACTATAC